CTGGGAAGAAATTGCAAGATTGGCGTCGGAAAGCTCGGAATGCACAAACCCAATGACATGGCTAGAAAACCGGCATTAGACCATTCCCCGAGGACGTTCACATAAAACCAAGTACGAGGCAGTTTCTAACAGGGTGGCAGCAAGAATGAATATGAAAAATGATCCCTTCTGGCTCAACCTCCTCTGAACTTGGCGCCAATTGCCACTCCACGGCAAAAGAGTTGACGAGACCTCCTAATAGGTGGGAAAAGGTCAGCCACACACAACCACTTTTCAACAACAAATAGATCAAGATTTCCCAGGGTCACACGTTGCATTGTATGGACTCTCCTTGAAAGGAGTGGGTGAGAATGAGATCCTGATAATATGTGATATTTTGTGTGATGAGTCCAAGGAATGGTATATCTCGTCATAAATTCGTGAAGCTTCTGCGATAATGTAGACACACAAAAGAAGCATTGAAATTTTAATGGAATTGATCCATTTAGATTGGAAAAGAATCCTTAAAAGAGGACCAAGTATCAAGGAAGTAGACTGGATGGGTCTTCATGGTAACACCCACCAGATTGGTAATGTAGTGTTGTTTGGGAAAGAAGGGGAGATCATTCTTCTGTTGTTTTCTTTGGGTTAAAATCATGTTCTTCAGCGTCCTCAACCATAAGGTACGAAAGCATTTCAAGAGGATGAGGTATTCAGAATAAGGATGTTTCAAGATAAAGACAAATGACTCACATTTAAGTCATCCATCTCGATTTATAAGCTTCCTCTGAATCCTGCCACATGGATATGGACTATACCAATGAGAAAGAGACATCTATATTCACAATCTCTTGATACCTTATCGATAAAGTCTACCTATTGGATGTTAAGATCTTCGCTGCACTTGAGGGATATAGTACAAACCCCCCTTGACAAAACATTTTAACATCAATAAAGATTCCCTACGTTCAATTAAATGGTTCAAGACCATTAAATACAAACCAAACAAGGTCGCATTCCTACAATGGCTGATCGAACACATGTGTCTTCCAACAAATGATTAACTCATTGAAAGGACCTCCTTAGAGGAAAGGGAAGTAGCCCTACCCTGTTGTAAACTTTGCTCATCGCCATTAACACAGGATTCGTAAAAACCTAACAAAATAAATTGTTAGGTTTATACAAAATGCGTTCAAGATTATGATAGTACGTTTTTCAAACTTCCTTCAGGAACAAAATTATACGTGAAGTAAAACAACCGCAAAATAATAGAAAATTATTTTTTCATAACCACTGGAAATGGCGAAGGGAAAAACGAGTTTTTCCACATAAAATCATTCTCTGGTGAGGCAGCGTATGTTCAAAAACCAAAATATCCCGATTTTTTGTCATCTAAAAAAATCATGTTTATAGTCCTATGAGATGTGTAGCAGGATGAACGTATTTGGAGGATTTTCGAACGCGCAAACATGTTCTCAAACATATGTTTCCATGCGTGGACAAACATTTTTTTTTTTACTGTTTTTTTTCTTCATTTTCTTTATTTTAAATTCGTGTTTGGTTAAGAATTTGAAAATGTCTCCCATGCAAAAGTTGTTTGTATTTTTATTTTAAATAACATATATTTTTTTATAAAGGTTTTACAACTATCTTCAAAATTGATTTATAGTTCTATAAGATACTTTTCGTAGAGTTTGGTTTTCACCTAACTGTTGAAAATTATTTATAGTTCTATAAATGAATATTCACCAAAATTCAATTTTTTTTTTACAATTTTTAAGTTTGCTTTATAGTCCTTAAAAATTTTCATATTTTGAGCTCTGCTTTTTGCCAATCTACTTAGAATGACTTATACTCATATAAGAGGATTCTGCAATAAAGGGTTTTCTTGCACATTTTGAGTAATGCTTGAACTTTCACCTGATGTTTTGCCTCCTTTAGATAAAATAGTTAAAAACAATATTTTTTGTGTCAAAAATAATAGTTTGACTTTTACCTTTTTATTCTATAAAAAAAGTGAGGTTTCATTGTTTTGTCAGACTTTTACGAATCCAGTGTTCAATCCCTTTTCGACAAAGATCGAAAACCATAGAACATATTTTTTTTTAATGCCCAAAGGTAGTATGGCTGTGGAGATGGTGGAATAGTATCTGAAGCCAAATAATTACCTCCCAACAATGGTCGTGAGATTGGAAAACCCTTCTATGCAAAACATGGAACCCTCCTCAAACAGATGACTTCACTATCAATCTCTGCAAGATAGGAAGGATGACCATTCTCTGGGCTCTCTAGTACCATTGATGTACATATAAAATGAAGCAGGTAAGGATTGATGGTCCATAATTTACAGACTCAATAAAGTACCAAATCCAAACTGTTATCAATTCGCAAAGGGACAATGTCAAAGAAAAGATCATACATTTACTGACCAAATCATAAAATTGACATAAATTATGCATAACATAAAACAATTCCGTGGTGACTGGTTAGGGGAAACCAAAGAAAAGATCTTAGAAAAAATTAAATGGATGGGAGAACGGAGTGAGGATCAAGCAAATAAGGAAGAAGGATTATAACGTTTTACAAAAGACTACCCATTGATCTTTCATAATTCAACTACTGTGGACCTCTCAATTCCCCCTTCGTCCCTTATTTGAATTCCCATACCCTTTTCCTCCATCATCATTGGGTCTGGGTCCCTTGAGTGGGTATGGCTTGAAGTGAGTAATTTAAGTCAATTTATGGGGGATGGTCTATGTGGAAAAGTGCAAAGTATAGGGCAGTACCTGGGGTTATCACGTACCACCTAGGTACAAGATTCGAACCCCCCATCCTCCCTCGGGTAGTCAATGCTGGTAGGAGGTGTTCGGGAATGGGTGTTGAGGAAGAGGTGTTTCTATGGGAAGTGCATTGTTGTAACCCAGTACACATTTTTCTTTTCCTTTTCCCTATGTGCTAGCCAATCCACCATAAGCATGCATGTTCTGAAGAGGATCTTATGAGTTTCTTTTTTTTTCGCGAACCGTTTCATGTCCTCTTGCAACATCCATTCGTACATCATTGCGAGTTTTGGAATATAGGGTAATTGCATTTTACTCTCAAAGTGCGTAAGACCCCTGTGTGTCATCAACTTGTCTTCAGGCATCAATGTGTTTTCGATCGAGCAGATAATGTCCTGTTTTCTGTCATTGGTGAGGTCCTTGGCTTCCCCTTGAAACAGGATGGTCACTGTGTGTTATTTGAAAAATTGTTCTTCCACTTTTCGAATGCTTTCCTAGAGTCGGATCACAACATAGTCTTCTTCCACATTTATGGGGTGGCATCTACATAGTCAGAGACGTCTTGAGATGTCTGATTTAGGTACCAGTCAGTGACCATGGTGGCCTGTCGAGTTAGTTCTTGACTGTTCCTCATCTATAAGTTTTGAGGCAGGTTCCTCTTGCTTAGAGGAACTGGCTATGGATGTAACGTCCATCTGGACGTTTTCCATCCCAGGGAGATGGCAGAGGGCTAGGTGGAGATGAAAAACACTTAAGGAAAGGGGTAAGGATACAAGGAAGGCGAGGTCCGTACTAATAGCATAGGATGGCCCTTGGGGCAACAAACCCGGCCTCGATAGGGGCAAGCAAGCGACTTAGTATGGGAAGATCGGGTGAGGCGGGGTGATGAGAAAATGTAGTATTTCACTCATCTGCTTCCATTGAAGTTTGAACTCATGTATTTATTTCTACAGTTCAGTTCAGGAATTGTAGTATTTCACTCATCCGCTTCCAGTTGAGTTCGAACTTGTGTATTTATTTCAACAGTTTGGGGCTTTACCAGCCGAGTTACAGTGTTTCCGCGAACAAAACGCACATATGTACTATTTAACTTTCCTTCAAAAAGTCGATTTCTCGACATCGCCCCTTGAAATCCAAATAGTACGCACGTTGAAATAGTACGCATGTATGTTGTATTCAAATAGTACGCACGTTTGTCCTATTTAAACAGACGAGTGACTACACGCTTGCCTGCCTCTAGTGTTGCGCTCATTTCCAGGTGCGCGCCCTGCAGTATTCCTTCTCCCCCCCCCCCCCCCCCCCCCCCCCCTCTCTCTCTCTCTCTTACCTGAAGGTCGTGTTTCCGAGAAGACTGGAGGTACCTGTACGAGGCACATACTTTTTATTTGGGGGGGGGGGCAGGGGGCAGGCGTATTTTGGGAAGTTGATACCGTATATTCATAGTATAACGCATGTGCGTTGTATACGAATACACCGTAGCCCGTGCGTTCAATTGTTCGGGGGAAGACTGTAGGCCAGTTTGTGATGAATGAATTTCTGAAATGGGTCACTTTGACGATGCGTTGTATACGAATACACGGCACCCTGCGCGTTCTATTCGTAAATAACGCACGTGTGTTTTGCTCGGGGGAAGACGGCAGGCCAGTTGGTGATAAATGAATTTCTGAAATGGGTCACTTTGACGATGATATCTCATGGCCGTCGCCCGTTTCTGAAAAAAAGGGCAAAAAACAGACCGGGGATCTCGTGTATCTCTGGGCATGATCTCTCGCGCCTTTTGTCAGACGCGTAGTTTCCCTGTCGGGAATCTCACCGGGTATAAACGGGTGCTACTAGGAGGCCGCAGCAGGCATTCGGCCTTCATCTGCCGTTCTTCATATGTGAAAACGACACACAACATAACAAAACATAGCCAGTGCACCTGTCCTGTTTGTACGTGAACATACTTTCGATATTTGAACCTTTGTTTGGTAGTATGGTGGGGTAGCCCACTGGCAGGGTCGGGAAGCACGCCGCGCATCCTTTTTGAGGGCATTCGACTCAACTGATTCCCCGCCTCGGCGCCTCCCTTTTTTTGAGGGCATTCGATTGAACCGGACCCGAACGAATGCAGCCGAACGACTTCTTTCTTTCTCTTCTTGACTGTTTCTGGCCAGGATGCTCCCCAAAATGCGTTAAAAACTGCCTCACAGGCTTTGTGATTAGAGAGGTCCCGAGCCCTTCGCTCGTTGCGGACATCTCACGCGCTGGAGGTCGAAGGGGAGCGCAGACGAGATGTGGTACTCTCAATTCAACTCTCCCATGCAGAGACACAAAGTCAGTCGTCGTGGCTGTCGTTTTAAACGGGAACCCTCAGAGATATTCATAGCGAGCGATAGCGGATGGCTCGTTAGCCTAAGCCGGCTGTCTCAGAGGAGCGCGATGCATCTGCGTTTTAGCGACGTAGCGCCATAGCTGCTGCCCTTCTTGCTCTTGGTCTGTACGCAACTACTACTTCCTGCCTCCTCTTTCTCTCTCTCTCTCTCTCTCTCTCTCTCTCTCTCTCTCTCTCTCTCTCTCTCTCTCTCTCTCTCTCTCT